CCCAAGCCATACTATTGTTTTATGATATGATTCTGTATGTGTGTGTAGGGACTTCATTTTCACAGCTACTGATTATCATAGCATGACTAGGAAAAACTGTAGAAAGGCTGTGTGTTTTTGTAGATATCCAGTTTTACTGGTTTTAATGGAACAAAGATCAGCCGATTGATTAGTTTCAGATATTTTATGAGTAAGACTCTAACCTAGCTCCATGCCTGGGAACTAATAAATTCCATTAGTACACAGAATAACTCAGGTCCAATGCTGCATTTCTTCTCAGGACTGTAATTATTCATTCTTTAATACCTTTGACGTCAAGATGATCCCACAAGAGTGAATTTGATGAAGTTTCTATTAAAAAAACTGGGAACTTCAGCAGAAATCATAAGAAGAAATGTAAAATCATAAAGACGTGTCTCAGATTTTCAGGCTGAGCTACTTTTCTGATTGTGGGATCTACATCTTCTGAACAGGTATAGGTGAGCTGCTGGCCTCTGTGTTCATCAGGAACCACTGTACACACTGGAGGGTGGGCAGGAGAATTCCTGGTTTACAGGGATGCTCTGATTTCCCTGCAGGCTCACACTGGCACCTGAAAGGTATGCTGCAATGGTTTGTAGTCATTTTTTGCCCCAAACTAAGTCAAAAACGATGATAGCTTTGATTTTGTATTTCTGAAGACCTTGTTAATTATCCATTTCACAGTTCATTTAAGAACAAAAGCTTTAGAACAATATTAATTTTTGAAGATTTAAAGGCTTCCGTCTTCTTTGTGTCAATGGTTTGGAAGATATTTTGGCTTCAGAGTTAGAAAAACAAACAGCAAAATGGAGATTCTGATCATGTAAATGTATTAGATACTTTCACCATATTCCTCATGCTGAATTAAGAGCTCGGCAACAGACAAAAGACAAATATTACTAGCAGTTTACCAATTAACAATGCTAATGATGAATGCTGTTATTACTACAGCAGTTGAAGGTGACAACACATGCTGGTGGGGTTCATTTTGGGGGCTGTAACAGAGGGATCTGTGTTTATGCTGTGCTCAGTGTATGAATACAGGCAAGCCAAAAGGGCAGCCAGTAGACAGCCTCAGCTCTGATAAATCAAGTTCTGTACACAGAAGGTGGGCATGCATGCAAAGAAGTGGAGTCAAGGTGGAAAACTACTTTTTGGAAAGCAGCTTAAACCATATGACTGCATCTATGTCCCCTGGGGGAGGAAAGAAGAGCTGCTTCCCACTGCTTCTCTTCTGCCAAACTCTGGATGAAAAACGCTGCCCAGGGCAAGTGCCAGTGTCCAGAGGAGGATTTCCAGACTGTGAGCCTCAGCCTCAGGGTGGGGAGATGGCCTCAAGCTGTGCAGAGGAGTCCCAGAGGGGTCTGCATTACTTCAGTGTTCCGACAGTGCTGCCTTCGGTTTCTCTCTGGTCAGTGTGCTGGCGGCTGCAAACTCTGTTCAGGTACTCCTAACTCTCTCTTTACAATGTGTTAGACTATTTTCTGCAGGAAATATGGTGTCTAATTCAGGAATTTAGCTCTGGAAAGCATAAACTAGGAGTTATGAGTGGCAATGAAGAGTATAATCCTTGTGGTTTAGGCCAAAAGCCAAGGGAGATGTACTGTGACTGTGCATGGCTTGTTCTAGGAAATCAGACTAACTTCTATTTTTTCTTAGTGTTGACAATGGTTAAATGCAGAATAAAAGAAGAGTACGAAATACCAAGAAAAGTAAAAAATGTGTGACTTCATTTCTAGTTCAATTTTCAGCAAAATAAATATGGATAACCCCAAAGTATCTCTTGAATAAGTATTTTCATATTAATATATTTAAAATAATAGTTTGTAAAAACTGTCTCGAAGTGTTAAGCTGAAAAGAGGACTAAACTTATAAAGTGCTTAAAACCAAATTATATATGTCTAAAAAGAGCACAGAAGGGGACAGTTTTTGGACTTGATGACCTTAGTGGTCTTTTCCAACCTTAATGATTCTATGCTTCTGTGATTTTTTTATAGAATTAATTGACCTCAACCAGTGTTAAGGATTACTTTTTTTTTTCTCCTGTAATGAAGCATTATGTAACATGACCAGATCTTGTATAGAGAAGGCAGAAGAACTGGAGGAATAGAAAGGTTGGGTTTGTTTTCTTTGGAAGAGTTAGCTTAAGCATATCTCCTGTGGCAAGCAGCGAGGTAGTTGGGCTCTTGTTCACTTCTTTCGCTGTGCTCTCACCTTCCTGCAAGAGCTCTTTCCTCCTCTTACCTATTGCTGTCTCACAAGCAGTTGTCATCACCTTTACAAAAGCTACATTAAGCACAACGACTTTATTCAGAAAAAAACAAAAGAGATGAAATAGCACTTGCAGCAAAAATCAAATATGAACCAGTAATGTTCCAAGGAGCACAGAATTTCCTAATTGCATTGCCAGGCTAGCCAGTAAGATAAAATACAGGGTTGCTTTAGATCAGTGTTCAGTATATCCTTGTTAAAAGATATTTTGCAATGTTGTCTGGGAAAGACCTACTCTCTAAAAGAACTTCATGAAAGTTCAAAATTTACTATATGAGAAATCTTGGCTTACTTTAGCATTGTGTGAAGTACAAAATATCATTTTAGATGTAGTTTAAGTGATTATGAGTATGGCATATCTGATACTGATGTACAGTATGGTGAGAAGAGTGCTTTCATTAGTGTCCAGACATAAAGAAAAAATATTGTGTGAATCATCCACCTACAACCTTAATTGAACCAAAGGTTACTAGGCTGCACGGACCACCAGCATCATCTAAAGAAGAAAAAGAAACAAATGTTTAAGTCATTGAGCATCCCACCCACACTCCACTCATTAGTTCCACTCAGCCTGTACTAACACTGCAGTTGTGCATCAGTGATGTGCTGTGACCATCTGGCTTCCCTTGGAAGGACATGTGGACAGCTTATCTTCAAAGATACAGCACTAACAGCTGTATCAGGACAAAGAATGGAAAATAGATCTAAGTTCATCTTCTTCCATGAAGGACCAAATGACCTGCGTTTGGCAGCGCTGTTTTAAATGAAGACACTTGTGTTAGATCTCCACATATCTCCTTGTCTCTTTGTAAAATATGCTATACATCTGATTTTAGTTTAAAAACACCAATTATAGAGTGCATCCATAGAACGTACTGGCAGATGGATATTCTTTCCCTAGCTAGTGAAAATAAGGAATAGTCTGTAAGATATAAGTTAGGAAAATTACCCATTACAGACCATATGATCTTTAACTTTCTCTTCCTAGTAAACAGTAAATAATTACTGTGAGACATTTACAACTGTCCTTTAACTCTTGCAAAGATACATCTGCAACATCAAGAACACAGTTTTGAACAGAAAGGTAGAATTTCCTTTTCAAATCAAGGCCATACATCCCAGTCAGCTCTGAGAGATATTGCATTGCTTCCTAAATTACTCAGTGTCTTTACTTCCTGCTTACCTGTTGTGAAACTAATGTGTTCCAGAAAGAACAGAGTGACTTGAGTATCTGAATTCCTATAGGGAGAATGGGGGTGAAGTACTTTTGATTGTTTTTACTCTGCAAATGATACGAAACCAAGGACATGGTGAAAGGACTCCATATCAAAATGTGTGCTGCTTCATTCATCACAAGAAGGGATCGTGAATCATACACACAAACTGAGATTTGATTCTTTCTGTCTCTTGGCTGTGATATTATTTTTCTCCATTCATTTTCTGTGTGAAACAGGAAATTACTTGTCTTCTCCCTTAAGAAAACACCTTCATGTAATCTGCTTTGTTAAACGACTCCTAAAGATTAATTCTCCTTGTGAAAGCATATTCACAGTGAAGAGTGAGCACTTACCTCTAGTAAAGTACAAAGGACGTGCAGAATTGTCCACTAAATATTGTAAAATTAAAGGGAGAAATACTCTTCACTTTCAAGAGGGCAATTCCACTGTTACTTGCATATAAGTGGCTGTGGTATCACATGGTTCTGAATGGCTCACTGTGCAGAGAGCTTGCAGTGGTTTTACAATTTCTGGTCAGACTTCCTACAGAAGCGTGCATGCAACTGTGTAAGTGTTCTTTGTACAAGTGATATTTCCAGTGTCAAACTTGCAAAAGAGACATTATTCAGGCAAGATCACTCTCTCCACCTAACTGAGAGACAGAAAGATGAGGAGATGAACATTCATAACACTTTGCTAAGTGATTCCTTTCATCTTAAGGCATTCTCTTTCTTCTAAGCTCCAGTATTAGCAGTATGCATGGCAACTACAGATACATGGCAGTGCGCTGAAAAGATAAAGGGCAGGTAGAAAAAAATTCCTCTGATCTTTCCTTATCCTCCATCTCTAGGGTGCCTTGGATAAGCAAATGGAATAAACAAGACATGCAGATCCACATCCAGAGCAGCTTTCTGGAGGCATGACTATCACCAGGCCCTGCTGGCACTTCCCAAAGAAATCACCACTAGCTCACACTTCCAAATGCAGTATCTTAATATCTTCTGCTATGGTGATACACATGTGGTTTGTGCTTTTTTTTTTTTTTTTTTTTTTTTTTTTTTTTTTTAAGAGGAGACTTCTCCAACCCTTCAGCAACTAACCATAGGGCCTTTCAGAGAAATAGATCAAATGTCACACACACACAAATCCACACCTTTCTCCCACATCATTTGTCCTTGCACTGCCCCCAAACCTAAGATGTACTAAGATTTACTAAGATGTAAAACTCTAAGATCCTTCCACTACTAAAGTTTACTTCCTAAATCGTGGAATGGCTTACTTTGGACAGAACCTTAAAGACTCTTAGAGATCCCCCAACATGTACAGGGTTAACAACCACTAGATCAATAAATGCTAACTGGGAACTAAACTCAGCTGCTCCTCATTCCCGAGGTAATTGCAGGCATTTCTACAGCTGCTTCAGGGATGGCTGATACTTTAAATGTGTAATGGTAGGGTTTTTCTGTTCTGTGCTTGATTTCTAACCTCAAGTTTATCCCTGCTAGCAAAACTATGGTTGCTCTTCTTACTGATGTTGGCAGGATGAAAATACCTCGCTGTTAAGTGCTGCTTCTTTCACAGGGAGAAACTTCACGCCTGCAGCAAGCATTGAAGGTACAGGTTTTGTTATCAAGTGTGTTGCTAACTTGTAGTTAGACACATATGTTATGTTTGCTAGGAGTTGAAAATGTTTTTATCATTCAACTTGCTTTTGCAAACTTTAGATCATGGTGTAGAGACAGCAAAGAAGAGGTAACTGAACTCCATCTGAATAAAGCAGTAGAAATTGCTGCTTGATCACCAATATATCTCTTATGATTTAGGTTGCATAAAAGGTGAATTGGAAGATCTGCATTAGATTGATGCTAAGGAATCAATAACTGACAAAAAACCTTGGAATCTACAGTGATTTCTGATTGCGTGCTATTTGCTTTCTAGTTCACTCTTGCTCTGAATGCTTCTTAAAGTACTTTAAGCTGTTTTCTGTGATGTTTTATTTCACGTCAGGATTTTAGAGTAGAAGTTGTATCTAGTGGTCTAGGCAACATTTAGTAGCTTTGACCATAACTTCAGTAGCTTTTCTTTCTCTTCTGTGTAACTCACAACAGTCCCTGGTAGCATGAAGTTCTGCTGCTCTGCTACAAACTGCATTTTTGTGCACTGGGAGGCCACGATCCTGGGGACTAAAATCAAGGCTGTAAATGTAGATGGAATGCAATAGGCATATTAGAGCTTCTAAGTGGTTCTGTACGAGAAATGACTCATCCTTTGCTAATTTAGAATATGTGTTGTAGGTCTCTATACCTTTGCTTAGCAGAAATCTTAGCTGTAGAACTCTTACAGTTGGAAGGGACCTCTAAAGGTCATCTAGTCCGCACTCCCCTGCAATGAACAGGGGTGTGCACAGCTAAATCAGATAGTTCAGGGCCTGGTCCAGTTTCGACTTGAAAGTCTCCTGGTTTGGGGCACCACATCTCTGGGCAACCTGTTACAGTGCCTCACTATCTGCACTGTAAGAGACTTTTCCCTTATATCCAACTTAAATCTACTTTCTTTGAGCTTGAAACCATTTTGCCTTGTTCTATCACAACAAACCTGTCTAAGTAGTCTGTCTCCTTTTTTTTCTGTAGCTTCCCTTTAAATGCTGAAATACCACTATCAGGTCACCTTGGAGCCTCTCCAGGCTGAACAGTCCCAGTAATTTCAGCCTGTCCTGATAGCAGATGTTCTATCTGTATGGGAACTGCTGAGTCATGGCCTGAACCTCTGATTGATCACCTGAGGCGAGCAATCAGTCAGCCAGAGGAGCACAGGTGAAGGCAATTCAACGATTCACCTGTGCTGCTCCTAGACCTATTTAAGAGCTGGCTACCAGTGGGGAAGGATCTCTTCTGGAGATCTGCTCTGCTAGAGTTTTGTGAGTGAGCCCAGGATAGGGGTAAGCCTTCTACTTATTCTCTTTTGTTATCTTAGTCTGCTTTGCCTAACTCCCTTCTAACTCTCTTGTTCATTTTGTGATTATAACATCCTAATATTCTTTGATTATACACCATCCCTTAGATAATTTTTGTGGCCTCTGGATGTGTTCTGAGAGGTAATATTTCTCTGTACTGAGGACTCCACATCTGTATGTAGTACTCCAGGTGAGATCTCACCAGCACAGAGCAGAGGAGCAGGATCACCTTCTACCTGCTGGCCATGGTTCTTTTGATGCAACCCAGGATACGTTTGGCTTTCTGAGCTGTGAGGGCACATTGCCGGCTTATGTCTAGCTTGCTATCCACCAGTACCCTCAGACCTTTTTCAGAAAGGCTACAGTCAATCCTCTCATCCACAAGCTTGTACTGATAGTAGATGTTGCCTTGACACAGGTATGTGACCTTGCACTTGGATTTGTAGATGTTCACCTGAGCCCAATGTTTAAGCCTGTCTAGGTCTTTCTGGGCGGCATCTTGTTCTTCTGGTGTGCCACCTGCACTCCACTTGTTGTCAGAATGGAAAACAAAGGTTGAGTTTGAATAGAAAAAATCTTATTAAGAAATTCCGTTAGTGGAAGAAGGAAACTTTTCTCTGAAGCTTCTTGTCTGTGGGCTCTCTTCTTCCTCTCTTAATACCCATGTGTACTGTTTCATCTGCTGTGGAAAAGGTATTCTCAAATGGAAAGTGTTCATATAGGAAGTACCAAAGTACCTTGCACACAAATATTTTATCTTAAAATACTGAATATTGAGAAATACTTGTGATGACTGTAAGCAGTTACTGCGTGGACTTATTTGTCCTCATTAGGTAGTGTTTTCTGCAGATCCTTGAATTCTTATTGGCTTGTGACTGTGTGATTTTTTTGCTTTTTTTTTTTTTTTAAACTGCAGTAGAACAAGATGGTTTTTAACTCCTGACATGTGCTGCCTAGATGTATCAGTAATTTCTAGTACTAGAAGCTTTTGTAGGCTGAACCATTTCTGGGAGTAGTAGCAACTGTCTGATTTTTTTGTACATTGATCTAGAAAATGGTCTGACTGACAGTGTAGCAAGTGCCTTATTCTCCTTTATTACAGGAGGGAAAACAAGAATTATGTAACTACACCCCCGAGAGTGTGCTTTGTTCTTCTCCCAACAACTATGAATTCTGTCTGGTAACATCTTCACTCAATGTGTGGGAACTCGCTCTTCTTCAATATTTGTGTACTACTTGAAAGGGTAAAGGAAAATTAATTCTTCAACAGAGAAATGGCTGTTTTCTATGAAAGAAAGCTGTAAAAGAAGCACATTCAATTCTGGATCATTTGAACACAACACTTCTGTCTCTTATGTATTGATCTTAGGGCAAACTGGTAATTTCACTGTGATGTATATGTAGCTTACAACGTAATTTAGCACTCACATTTCTAGTTGATTATATAACTGTGTTTAAAGTTTAAGGTAATAAAATACTACTTTTTTTTTTTTTAGTTCTCTTATAAGCTTATCCAATGTTTGTCATTACTGTACAAAGTAGTGATTATATATTAGTTTTACCTATAATCACAGGGTAAAGTACTCCATAGAGATAGCTAGAACACCTACTGTCTATGCATCTGTGTGAGCTGCACATCTTGAAGGAAAAGGCTTCCCTTCTGCAGACGCATGTCTCTATACATGTTAGGCAAATTCACCACTGGGGAGAAAGGGGAATTAATCTCCAGTATCAAAACATAAGCAATCATGCTCTCAGGCACAGTGTGCATCTGACCAGTGAGTAATTCTTGAGTAAACTCCTACTTGGGAATATTACAGACAAAAGCCTTTCAAAAAAAGAAAAGAAGTACTAATTCTCCTATTTTTGAGATAAAGTACTTCCATGTGTGTCGAGAGAACCATTTCTAGGTGGACCTCCTTAAGTTATTCCAGTACAATTCACTTCCAACTTATATAATACATTAAAATACCTCATCTGCTAGTCTCTGTCCAAACTGACCCAGCGATGCATACTGAGGACTGCTTTATAAGGAAAACTTGGTTAAGCACAGAGAAACAGATGTTTCCTGCCTAGTAGCATGAAGCGCATTAGTGTGTTGGAAAACCATCTACAGTTAATGGAAGGACATCCAGGATTGCAGTTGCTATGTTATTTCTCCCCAAGCAGTTTCAGGACTAAACATTTTGATTGTTAACAGCTTTAGAAAGGAACCAGCATCCATTGTGGATGCGATCGTAAAAGCAGATTGAGAGGGAGAGAGGATGATAGCTGGTTCAGGAAAGGGTAGTGAGTGACTCCTAGATGAGGGTGTTAGTCTCAGTTATTGTCAGTCCCGGGGGATGCTGCACAGCCAGTGGTGTAGGGCTGCAGAGAAACACTACAGGCTTCCCTGTCCTGAGGTGCCTTGGGAGTCCTTGAAAACCCAGATTTAGGAGCTCAGTGACCACAGAAACAATATAAATAACACAGGAGGGGGGAGGGGAACAAAAGGACTATGGTTTTCCAAAATGTGGCACTGCATTGTGTCATGGTTCCATGTTTCCTTCTGCTTAACATACTCTCCATGTGCATTGTGAGGGTTAAGAATACGCGTATTCCACTCGCACAGGGAATACCTGTTTCTATTTGCCCTCCAGCATCTCAAAATGCGTGGAAGAAAATCCAGTGTTTCTCGGGAAATACAGAAAAAGTTAATGAGGCAAAGAGGTGTGGAGCTGCGTGTGTCAAGAGGCTTGTGCTGTGGACGTATTTTTATGACTATTTCTGTATTTTATTGCATTAATATCTTCAGAAAGCTGATCCTCTCTATGGCATGGATATTACTGATTTACGTGGGGTTTTTTGTTTTGTGTTTTTCAGAGACAAATGTTACTTCGGATAACTTCAGTGACAGAACATGGCAGAAGAGTGATGGGTTTAGGAAAGGTAAGTCTTGGCTTCATCAGTACTGTATGCAAACACAGTGACTCATGCAGTCTGCAGCTCTTGCTTAGAGGCATCATACAGGTGGCTGTTGGCTGGAAATTGGAAAATTAATAGAAAGCTAGTAGGCAGATCAGTACCCTGTAATCACTGCTTGAGCTGATTTCTAATGAGTTTAGAATTTCTGTCAATCTTCTCTTCCCACAAGCCTTCCTGAGAGACACTGTACAAAATGAAACCAAGGAAGGAAAAAATGTACTGAAATCCTATGAGTGTGTGTGAGGTTTTCTGCGTAGTTTTTGATGATGTGGTGTGTGAAGGTATTTGGAAAGTACAAAAAAAAAAAAGTGTGATATTTGCTTTGGTGGAGGATCTCCTTTGAGAACAAGGAGTAATCTGAGTATTCTGCATGAATTTTGTATGGGGAAATATTCTTTCACTTTTTCTAAAGCATTCAGGCAATTACTGCTTTCATTGATTCGTGGTCACATTGTTTTAAGAGCTGAGTATTAGATGATGAAACTGCATAACACACCTGTATTACACTGAAAGTAAGTCTAACTTAATAAGAACAGTGTTGGTTCATTTTTACCCATGAGTGCTGAAGTGTGTGTGCTTTAGGTGTGCTACACTGCATGAAGAAGATGTCACTGTTGGGAAGCTGCTTAGCAGGATTGGGAGACTGGGAAACTTATTTTTAGACTCAAGTTTTCTGTTTTTTCGATGTTTTGTCTGGGTAAGAAAACTGGAAATGAATTGAACACGAGGGATTCGTGAAGAGAGGAGGCTGCTCCTAACATCCTAATGGGGCTGGTGGAGTTTCACGAATTACTGCCGATCATTTCATTTGCTGGAGTTTCTACTGAAGGCTGACAGACGTGAATGTATTTTTAATGGGCTTTCAGTGAACCTGTGACCCCAAAGCCTCCCAGTTCTGTATGATGGAGAAGGCTGCCTCTGAGTGAGATGGTCTGTGCACCTCCAGAACTGTGCTCTCTGCAGACTTGTCCTTTCAGCTATCACATATCAGGTTAGAGCAGATGAAGCCCCTTTCAGGTTAAGGGGTAACTTGAAGTCTGGAGAAGCTAGCAGGTGGCTTGATAAGAGAATAAGACCTTTATTTCTAGCCTGGCTTTTCAGTAATGCAATGAACTACTGGATCCAGTAGATAGCAGTTCCTTAATTTCGGATGATAGTTGTAAAATCGAAATGATGCAGATAGACTTAAAAGTGTTTTTTGTTTTTTTTTTTTTTAATGGCTCACAAATCCCTAAAGGAAAATAGGGGAAAGAATACTCTGTTAACTTCCATTTCCAAACATTAAGATATTACTGTGATTGCACAACCTCTTCTTTTCAAAGCAGTCACAGTGGATCCATCACAGTCTGTTTTCTGCTCCTGGTTTTCTTCAGGTCAGTGACTGAATGGACATCAGCAGCCGGTGTTGGGGGAGGCTTAAAGATCTCCTGTTTTTGGTTGAAACTTGCTTTCTGCTATTCATATGGGTTCCCATGGCACATGATATTAGCATGGACAATACAGATGCAGCCTCGAAGGGTCAGTGTAAAAAGTCCTCCTTTTCCACCCATGGTCAGGATAATTCCTGTGCCCTGTCTGGCTTGGCTCTGCTCTCATTTCCCAGGATGGGGCAGATCTTCTTCAGTAACTTCAGACCTTATTTCTGGCTACCTGTTCCTCAAGTTTCTTAAGCGTTTGTCATGTTTGCACATAAGACTGCAGATGGGAATCATTTTTTTTGAATTCTTAAATTTTCTGACGATTCTTCTACTAACTCATTTGCCTTAGCATAGCGAGCACATACATGGACAGAAGGTAGAACTCCCTAAGTTATCTGTTCTGGACTGTCTGAATCTCCAGTGCACACTGAGGCTTGCCTGATTCCAGTTCAGCTTGATGGCAGAGGTCCCACAGTGGGCACTGAAATGGAATGGGTGAGTGATGCTCAGCCCTATGAGGGGGCTGACATCCAGCATCTTGGTACCCCAGCTAGGCACAGGAGTGGTAACCAGTACCACTGAGTCCAACATGCACAGCCAAGGGCAGGGAGCTCCTCCAGCAGCTGTCGAGCACAAAGACAGTAGCGGGAGGAGGAAAGGCTGCCATGCAGAAACTTGTTCTATGATACCATTCAAATGGCTGAAGTTAATATATTGCACAGAGCATGTGAAATCTGTAGAGCCATCAAGGCTCTGGTCACTTAAAATGATATTAGTCCTGCATTATTTAGGAACAGTTTATGCATGCAACCAGGAGCGTTGTATTTATGACAGTTATATAAGTCTTTCAACAAATTACTGCAATTAAGGGAAAACAACAGCCACTTAATGTAGTATTAAGACTGTAAAATTATTCCAATACTTATCATAATTACAGCGACATGAAGTAATTTCTGTTTGGTTTTGTTTCTTTGTAAATGAGATTTAAGTACTGTATCCCATGAAGATGGCATATCTAACTGTGTGGCTACCAGGTGCATGAATTCTGTTTGTGTGCTAATCCCTTGCTGGCTCTGAGCTCTTTGGCAGCCAGGCATTTCCTGGGGTGCAGAAAATAACAGGCAGCTGTCCCCTCAATTCCAATAAAAAAGGAGATATGGAAGATAGCATCTATCTTCTTTGAGACATGCTTCTTACAGATCTCCCAGCTTACCCAAGTAACTGCTTCTAGAATATTGCTTGTGGAGAACCTGTATGGGCTTCAGGAAGTAAATTTGCAAACTCTTTGCTGCAGAAGAGGCAGTACTTTGTGCTGTAAATGCCTTCAAGAAGTATTTGAATGGAAAAATGACAGTAAAATTGTTGGAGATAGTCTTTTTATTCCCATACTGCTTTCTTCTCTTCCCCCCCCCCCCCGCACTAAATTTTATCTGTGCAATAAGAACAGTCCCTTCCGGATTCTGACTTTCCATCTCTAGCCCAGTTATCTTTTCACCTTGGGAACTGAAAATGAGGGATGTATCTAACAACGTGTTGAGTTTTCTGGATATCACCTGGCTTAGTGACTTGCAGGATTCCATTTGTTTGTAATGGAAGTTAATGCCTAGAGTGATATGGAGCCCCCTGTGCTGGGATGAGTTTTGCCTGTCATTCTGGTTCAAGTTCTCTTCCTCTTAAACCTTCCATGTGAAGTACGGGGCTTCCAGAGTTGATTAGAGCAGTTCAAACTTTGTAATCTCTGGATGGATGTTAAGTGTTATGAGAAGACAGTATTTGAAACGGTGAAGCACTCTGCAGCAGGTATCACGTAAAGTTGGCTATTTGATGTTGCATGGAATCAATCCTTTGATTTATGGATATTAAGTAGCTAATCCTGATTACAAAACTTCTTTACAGATAAATCCATTTATTTAGGAAAAAGCAATCTCTGTATCCCTGCTTTCATCCTCTGATGCAGGTGTTGTAAGAGAAGGAAGAGTGATTTATTTGCAAAATGTTTCTTCATCACAGTCCATTTGATACTTTTGTACCTCTTTAAACTTAACTATATTATTTAGGTCTGAAATGAAGTAGTGAGACATTATGCACTGGGCTGTACTGTGTGACTTTTGCAGACTTAAATCCAAAGCCAGTTTATCCTTCTATCAGCCCTTCTGACACTTGCACTTTTGCCAGCTTTTGCAGCCCTTCTCTGTGCAATGTATAGGGTGGTGTTCATCATCATTCTGGCCTATTGTGGTGTGATACCTGAAGCCTGAAAAGCTCTCACATTAGTAGTGTTGGCTAATTCAGCAGCAAAGTAATTATCTCCTTTGGAGATGAAGACCTGTCTTCAGATGGAATTAGCTTTCTAGGGCAATACCAAATTCATGTTAGGGAAAGATAAGCTAAGAGGAAAAAAATTAAACAATGTAGTGTTGCTTCATCAAAAGTTTTAGGACTATTCCCCTTTACTTAATTTCTTCCAATGTTAATTAATCAACACTTTTTTTTCCTTTCAAAAAAGCCCTTGTGAGTATACCTGGGGGCAGGATGGAAATCAAAAGAGGGAAGGAGTGGGCTTTGAGCCAGATCTGATAAATGAGTGGAGAAGAGAAGCAGAAAGGACTTGCCAGCTACTGAAGTCCTTGGAGCTGATTTAATCCTGATGTCAGACACTCCTTCAAATGTGGGCAAACAGCCCATAATGTAAACTCTGGGGATGGAACTGAAATTGGTGGTCACTTGCATGTCTTGCGGCATAAAAGCAAACTTGTGGTTAAAGCTTCTGTCAGGGGATTAAGAAGGTCTAAAGTTGAAAGCAACGATCTTCTAGGAAAAAATAACAAGCACGCTCTTAGTAGAAAACTTCTATAGCTGTTCTCTTAAGTACTGGCAGTGTGTGCAATCACCTTATAATGAATGGGTCAGAACCATGGGTGGTGTGGGGCCTCTAGGCTTCAGTGCAGCAATACTAATTTAAGAAGGAACAGTCCACTGCATACCCTCCAGATGTGGTCTGAGGGAAGCTTAAGTTCCGTAATAGTACAGCAGCAGTCTGCCTTCTCTGAGAGTATCTGTGTCTGATCAGTGACTGCACACAGATGTAACTTCTGGATAGGGAGGACATATGATAGTAGCTGCCTGGTTCCCAAAGAGGATAGCAAGGGGACAGAGACAACTTGCTGCCTCTGAGACCTAGGGTGCATTTCTTCCTCCCATAGTATGGGCAGCTCCTTGAATTCTGTTCCTGCATGTGGCTCAATGAGGAAATTGAAACTGACACTTATTTAATAGTTTTCCATTTTGTTTTGCAAAGGCGCTGAAGTACATCTTAGGAAAAAAAGTATGGAGTTGTCTGATCTTTGATTTATGTGTGAAATGGTCTTAGAAATCATAGATACCTCAAACTTGCTTGTCTTACATCAGTAGAAAAGTGAAATGGAGGTGCTGGTCCTCAGTTCCCCAGCTGAAATTTCCTGGAGACCTCAAACTGAAGAGCATGATGCATTACTAACACTGTTGAACTGGGAGACAAACAAGGAGCAGATCAGATAGACTTCCCAGGCATAGCAGGGCTGACAGCTGTGGTGATGGCAGTTTTGAAACTGAGAAACGTAGAATGAGGTTTTTCTGTTTTTTAATTTCTTCAAGCAATTCATGCATAGGTGTTTATCAACGTTTACTTTGCTGAAATGTTTTTCAGTTCCTATCAAATTAGCCAGAAAGGGTGTGTGAGTCTATTGATCGTATAATACTATCTAGCTCTTATAAAATAGCAAACACATCTTAGCTTGACTGCACAACTTCCAGATGGAAGGGTAGATCTGAAAAAACTATAGAGCACTAAAATACATGGGTGTAATTTCAAAAATCTCAGCCAAGCTTCCAGCTTCCCCAGACGAAGTTATTTTTCTTTTAACAGTAGACTTCTAGGCTATTCCTGTAAAACCTGAACACTGTAATGCTGTGTTCCCCCAGTTTCTTTTTCCCAGATCAAATTCAAATGTTTTGACATCAGCTGAGTCTCACAGAGTCTCCTCAGTAAGAGGAAGCTGAGATAAAATTAGATGACTTCACCTACTGTTAAAGAAGATCTTTCTACTGCTTATCAGAATATTGCATGAGTGTTGTGAGAAGTCATTGATATTGATACCATAAAATTTCCAATGCCAAAGCATGTTCTCAAGGTTGAAATTCAGACAGAACAGACAACAGACTGGTGCCCTGTCCAGCAGTGTGCCATGGCCTTCAGTAGTCAATGGATTAAGCTTCAGTCCAAGACTGCATCTGCAAAAGCAGTGTCATCTACCATTGCATCATGTTGCTTGGTACTGTGCAGAGGGAAGAATACTTATCTGGGGAAATGGCTGTGTTCAGCAATGCCCACAAAACCTCTGGGGGATGCCTGATCCAGCAGCACCTTACTTAATTAGCGGGTGCTGAGATCACTGCATCAACAACCCTGAAGTTCTGGTGGGCAACGCTCACTGGTGGCCTCTCTTGAGCTGACTTGCCTGCCTGTTCTCTGCTGTTTAACTGCATTAGAAAAATAGAAAAATGATAGATGCTTTCCAAATATTACTTATCCATGTAAGACGTTCTGGTTGCCAAAAAGATGTACTAGGATTGTGAGTAGAGAGATTATCTGTGCAAATGTGATGGGAGACCTCTCACGAACTAGTGTTGGTTTTTTTTTTTTTTTTTTTTTTTTTTTACTAAGGTGCTGTCTGCACTCTGTAAAATGTTAGCATATACCCTTATTATAAAATAAACTGGGTTATTAGTGTACTATATTGCAGAGATGCTGATAGATAATATGCAGAATTCATTGACTAGACATTGCTGTTTTGTCTCAGTTTTTCATGATCCTCTCTGTGGACTCTCCACCTATGAGAATATTCATTATGCAGCAGAACTACTCAAATGCTCTCTTGATCAAAAATGAAACCTCTATTAATCCCTACTGCATAAGCATTTTGCCTTCTGACAGTAAACAAAGCAATGCTGTTTGTATCCACAAATGCCAGTAAACAAAAACAAAATGCATCAACATGTGCAGGAAGTTGCAGAATGATGCCATGTTTTGATTCTAGATCACTTTAAAAACAAATTAAAAAACTTTCTTGCAGATACTCAGGAGCATGCAGACGTGACCTTTTCTGTCAAACAGATCCAGGGGTCCATTATCCCAGGCCTTACGATATCTTCTTGCTAGGTATCAGACTCTGGGAGAAAAGGCACAAACTTTGAAGGCTTTTCAAGGGGTCAGTTCTGCTCTGGTCCACCTAGAGTTTTCTAGAAAGAAACTGTCAAATACTTTCAAATAGTTGTTACTCTAAATTGCCACTTGCCTGTTGATGTAAGCTAGAAATAACACTTGTGAAGGTGCTGGGAGGTGTTTCACAGAAGTATTTGCCCGATTTCAGATTTCAGTTTTCCTGTTATTCCTCTCCAATTAGCTGGTTTTAGCATCAAAAGCATCATGAAATCACAAGGCCAAATTTATCTGTCCATGTGACTCCTGAAACACAGCGCTGTCTGGTTTCTGGCAGTGGGACTTCTAGGCTAGCTGATAGTGGCTTAAAAATGGCAGCAAAAAAAGATGATGCCATGAGAGAAGGATGGGCCTTCTGACTTCTGGTCCTTCAGCCCCGTAACTTTCTGTAAAAGTAAGGTAAAGCAGAATAAAGAAAACTGGGGATTGAATCTTCACTCAAGATGCAATGCCTCCATGGGTCACTCAGTTAACTCTCCAGATGCAGAACTACATGGGTTATGTCAGTATAAGGTGCTTGGAGGTGTTTTCCCTCCTTTACATCACTGAACTGAGATTTGACAAGCTAGATCTATATAATATCAATTCTGATGCTGGCAAATGTTAAAAATCATTATGGTATGTTTTGTACAACCCTGCAGTACTTCAAAGCAGACCAGCTGGGGTATTTAATAATAATAATAAAAAAATCCCTTCATAGATAAGGCCCATGATCCCTAACTAAAGCTTCTGAGATTTAGTTGTATTCAGTGCGTGCATGGCAACCCAGTCTTGGGCTCTGGCTAATGCTGGTGGAGCTCTGTGTGGAGAGCTGATATGTCAGTCTTGTGTCACTGCTTTTCATCTGAGAACAGGTGGTAAAGAATGCTTGTAAGGCTATGGAGAGCATTAGATTTTCTGAGATGCTTGAGAGTAAGGGAGCAGAGGTGCAACCCTTCTACTTGATATTGCTGCTGAAGTTCCCAAGAATTCCTTAGCAGGTGAACTCATGCAAACAGGCCTGGGCACAGTGCTGAGGCAGGAGGCTAGTGAACTTCCACCTGAGTGGGGAAAAACATCCAGTAAGTCTTTACAAGCTGCAAGTAATGTTTGATATGAGTATTCTGCACAGATACAGTATTACTGTGCCCCTTGATTACCTGAGATGACCAATGAGAACATTGAGGAATACAAAAATAGCATGTACAGTTCTACATTACATCACCCCACCAACAGTGTAGAAGCTGTGATCTGGATCTGAACACAGGATCTGTCATGTCTCTGTTACTTTCATCATTCGGTTGGCTGAACTGCCCCTCAATTAACTGTATGCTATATAGAGCATGTGTGCATATGTGTGTCACTGAGGAGAAAGTGGAAAGAATGGATTGCATTTCCACCACAATTAGTTTTGCTAGTAAGTCTGATATAATCCCCTGAAATTCAGGATCTGAGAAACAGTAGAGATTGTATCAACTACAAATAATTTTGCTGCTATAATGAAATCTGGCTATTGGAATAAAGTCTCAAAACAGTATTTAACTATTTATTAAATAATATGTATCCCCCAGTGATGAATTCATTTTCAGTTATAACAAGGCTTTGTGAAGTATAATGAAAAATACAGTGCCATGCATAGTAAACTAGCCTCTGTTTTCTTTGACAGCACGCCAGTTCCTCAGCTGTAGTACTACTATGCTATTCATCTCCATAAAGAGCTCTTTCAAAAGTATTATTAAACAGCAGGAAGGAATGGTGTATGACAGCTTCATTAGTCACTACAAGCCAAACCTGGCTGCTTTCTGCTGGGGATTATTAGCGCATTCCAAAACATCCCTGGGTTGATGGCATCCAAAATTTTTTTTTCCCTTCAAATGTATGGAATGTAGCCAAATCTCAGTTTGGAAATCCTGCTATCAAGACCTGTCTGGGCTGGGTTAGGCTCTATTTGTGAAGAGAACATGGACTCCCTCTTTGGTCGTAAGAGTCCAGAAGCATTGCTATAGATCATTTGAAACACACTGACACAGGAAATTATTTTGTGGAAGTGCAGAATGTGATCTTCACAAAATGGCAGATGTTCATGCCACATTACTTTGCTATGTCCTCTAGGTACCAGATACAGAACTTTAAGACCTTTCTGCACGTTTGTGCTTTGTTCACAAAAGGTGCATCCAGAAGGCAAGATATTCTGATTTAAGGATGCTTGTGGTCTCACTGAGATCAGTAAATGTGGGGTTTGGAACTAGCATGGCATTTCAGGCTCTGTGTTGCTCTGAGATCAATTCTATTTTAAGTAAATCTTCCTTAAGAGGAGCGTAAGTTACAGGATAATCATGATATGCAGAATTGAGCTCTAGTATAAGTCTGCTGCTTGATTTATTGCTCTTCTGAAATTATCCTAGGCTGTTTATAAAGTGAATAAACTGACTAAAGAAAAGTAGAGTGAACAAAATTGGTGAAAATCTGGATGTGGCACTGAATACTTTAGCTAGCTTTCTTTCCAAGAAAGCGCTGTCTAAAAATCAAGTTCCTTGGTACTGAAGTTTCATTGAGCAGTGAAGTCTGAGAAATTGATGGCACTCATATTAAAAATGCTGTGTACAAAGAAGTATTTTATTGTCCACGTGTTTCTAATTTCCTGAATATTTGTAAAAATCTCTTAATACATAGTTATTTATGCTTTTCTCATGGAACAAAATATTTTACAGGTAATACCATTCATAATTAGCAGTGTGCCAACAAATGCCTGGTGCTTGAGTGGTGATGACTTAATGTACTCTTGAGCTCAGGCAAACCTCTGGTTTGACTAAGCCAACTCATGGTGATGAGGTGGCAGAGGAGAATGCCTCTATGTGCTTTTGATAACCCAAACTGTTACTATCTCTTGGACCTCCCTGCTACCAATAACAGCTGAGATCCTTCTAAGTGGATACAGGAGAAAATTCTCTTCCAACCTTTTTTATTTTATGTATTTGCTATGAGAGTCAATTTTTTGTGACTTTTGAGGGCTCTTTCTTGTCAGTGTTATCACAGTGATAACTTTGAAGTTGATGTACACTGGTCTATAAGGCTCATGGGTGACAATAGCAGCAAAGCTACAACTAAAAAGCTGTGGGATTAATCTATAGGATTAAGACAAACGAAATGTCCTTGAGTAGGAATAGGTTTACAGGTGCCTATTGGTATCCCTTTTCTCTGAGAACAGTGAACAAAACCCGAGGTGACTCTTAGCAATAGGCTATCAACTCTCCCTGATGCTTCCAAACTAATGGTCCTTCTTTCTGGTAGTTTGAGTCTTCACGTATGTTATCCAATGAAGAAGATGTGGTTCCTTGCTGACTTTTTTGCAGTTCTTAACTAAGATGGGGTTCCATCTTTGATGAAAGGCAGACAGAGGAAGAGGAGCTGCAATTTCTTAGCTTCCCAGGTGGTGCAGGTTGAACTTTGACTATGGTCTACAAGATACCTTCCCCTACATCATATTGGATTTGTTAGTGTCTCTTCTGGCTTCCCTGAGTGCATAAAATCTAACACCTGTTGAAAGATAGCATTTACTGCCAGTGAAAATAATACTCTGCTGTTGAAGAAGATGCTGCCCACTTCTGAATGATTGCCTGTTGCCTCCATCCCTCACTGCAGCTTCCAATTCCACATGAGTACTCCAGCAGTGACATCACACTTTATACTCATTTCTGCTCTTCCGACTCTGCAGTTCATTTATTCACTGAACTTCCATTTGTAAATTTGTTTTCTAAGCCTTGCCCATTTGCTCTTGGTGTTGGGCCTTAGTGAAAAGCCTCACTATACATAGCTGGGAAGCCAGGAAGGGGAGGAATATTTGATATTTTTGTACTGTTTCCAAAGCTACCACTTAGAATGAGCCCATCTAAAAAACTGGCTCAAGAGTATCAGGCCCCTTTCTAACCTCTCTGATAAAGATACCATCTATTGTTGATGTTATTCATCGAACCTCCACAGGCTCAGAAAATCATCTTTTGAAAAATTAGAAAATTTCTTTTGAGGTGAAAGAGAATCCTTAACATGCTTGAAATAAATTAAAGTTCTCCAAAACCCATCATTTTACCAAATGGAGTGTTAATTACACAACCATTACTCTTCAGTGGGAAGAGCTATGCTTATTAGGGAAGGCAGTGTTTCCTGAGATAGTGTGAGTACATAGCAGCTTCCCCAGTAGCTGCTTTTTGCAAGAATAGAAAAGAAAAAATATACATGCATTAGATGTAATCCTAGCCTAGAAGTTTTAGTAGACTCAGTGCCCTCATATGACAGCTTTTGCAGGTGTGATGGCTAAATTAAGGTTCACAGCACTCCCTTGGTATGGTGTCCAGGGAAAAATCTAGGTCTGGAAATATGAAGCTAAATAACTGAATAATTTTAAAAGGAGACTGATGGGATTCTGGAGAGCAGTGAAATGCAGCAGGACTGTGCGTACCTGTGAGGAAGAGAAGAACACAGAAGAGCAATAGGTGATTTTAGTGATGTTAGGAAAAAGATTACTTGTTTCCTGGTGTTATAAAGGCAGATAGAGATGTGGCAGGTGCAGGTGTGACAGTGGGCTTCTGCTAAGTATTTTACACATTTCTGCTTCGAAACTGCTTGTCTCAGAGATCAGCAGAATCCGTGTGAACTTTTGAAGGTGCTTCCAGCCTTTGACACTGCACATCTCTCTCCATCACAACATTTATTTTCCATCTGCATCACTTGAGTCTCAAGACAGGTTGGATGGGGCCTTGTGCAACCTGATCTACTGGCCACCTGGCCCACAGCAGGGGGTCAAAACTGGATGAGCTTTTAGGTCCCTTCAAACCTAAGACATTCTATGATTGTGTGATTTAATAGTAGTGTAAAATTGTGCTTGTGAAGAGAACTGTCTAAATATTTCACTGTTGAGATCTCAATCAGCATAGATGCAATTGTTCTGGACTTGAGTAGG